CCCCGTTTAGTGCCTCTGCACTTCGTCGTCTTCACACCAATGGTGGTAGGCACTATGACAGTAAAAACAACTCACTTTGGCAGCGAAACCACGACCCATGACCACCACACTCACGAAGCCACCAACGACAGTCGATAGAACCACCACCATAACCCACTAACAGGTGATGAAATCACCAATGGCCACCCTTAAGCTAGAACAACATGATAGAGACCAATCATCTTCAACGCAACCACCACCCACGACCATGACAACATCTACCAGTCATTGGGTGCATGAATTCAGTGCAACTCCATCACCCACTGATTGTGGGATGCACAGAGAACGGGACAAAACCCTTCAAAGGCAAAATGGAATAGAGGGAAAAGAAAAGAAAAAGAAAAAAAAAGAAAAGGAAGAAGGCAAAGGTGATTAATGGCAGATTGAACTTGGACCTAATGGCTCTGATACCAAATTAAATTTAGAATAGAGACAGACTTAACACAATATGAGAGAGGTAAAGAGAGGTTTAACTTACCCTACCTCTCATTATCAACTTGTATTTATAGTTACCCACTAAACATACAAAAGCCAAGTATATCCTTTGTGTGGTATACATATTACATCATATTAAACCCTAACAATATTATAGTAATATAGTAATACTCTCAACAGTGTTGCTCGCTTGTCTATTCTCAATGAGTAGAAAGGGTGGGTAATAAGCTAATTGATGAAAGGGGGTATTAGTTTCAGAGCAGGGATAGGTCGTTGATGAAGAGGAATGAAAGGAGAGGGAATTCAGTTGGAGTTTTCAAGGGTGGGTAATCATAGAGGAAAGGTTTGAGATTAGGCATTGCATGATAAAGGAACATGTTGCAGAGCTTTGTGATTTTAGCTAAATGGCGGCTACGATGGTGCTGGGTGAGGGAGGGAGAAGTGAGAATGTAAATAGGGGGCCATTTTTTTTTCTGGTCAAAAAAAAAAAAACAACTTATCCAATATTTGCTTAGGTGCATGCTCTTAACTTGCAACAGAACCTAAATATTACAAAATTATGGCAAAGTTTGCTAGCTAAAGAGTAGTTGATTGGGAAAAAATACATCCAGAAGAAGTAAATAGTAGACTAATCTCAAAAATACTACATATTTGTGCTTCAAAGAAGAAGATAGGATTCAATCAAATATAACAAGGAATTCTTTATAGCTGGATAGAAATATATTGGCTTTCATAAGACATTCACACATATTGTTCATCTTCGAGACACTGCAACATTCATGAAAGACAAGATAATAATAAAAATGTTAACATATACACCCAGGGCTTAGTAGTAGAGAATAGAAAGATGGCTAACCGCGACTTGGAGATCAAGATAACAAAGAAAGTATACGACCTAAAGTAATTTTGTTTGACGCTTGGGATTGTTCACACACACACACACACACACACACACTCCAACTTATGCCCGTACTTGAAGATACTATATAACGCAAAAAAAAAATGGACAATCATTTGTGCTTACTATTTTTCAAAAAAAAATTTGCAATTTCCTTTGAAACACGACCCCCAAAAAATATTAATTTGTTTACACAATTTATATACTTAGTAAAACAAAAGTTGAATCCTCACACAAGGGGTCAATTTTCCACCACAATTTATATCCATTGAAAAAATTAAACCCTCCTACTTAGAGAATAAGAAAAAGGCATTCTAATTGCATATCATAATCGAAAAGATATCGTGCTTGAGCCTGAATTGAATCAAGAATTAAAAGCAAAAGAAATGGTGCCAAACAATGTGACCTAAAAGTATCTCCAACTATGACTCAAATTAAGACTCAAATTAGAGTAAAAAGCTTATTTGGTATAGAGTACTCTAATAAGCACACTCAAATGTCTGCTCAAATGTTTTAAAAAATTTCCTTATAGTCCCAAAACTCTTTTTTTTTGTCATTCAAATCATTATATTTGATAAAATAAATGAAACTTTCATATTTCTTCACAAATGGGTAATTAAAAAAAAATGAATATGTATACAATACTACATGAGAATAAAGAAACCATCCCAGAATTTTAAAATTGTTCTAATCCCTATTTTTATGGAAACGTATCAAGCCTTGGAGCACTATCACTCGCAAAGGAAGCAAGAGACGTGTCGATTGGAGAAGTTTCCAAGTTGAGATCCATAACCAATGGAGGGTTGACAGCATGTACAGTGTCAAGAATAGTGGGAGACTTGGTTTGGAAAGAGTCATCAAACTTGGATGGAGATGAAGAGGAAGGCATCGGGGACTCGGAATGGACAAGAGTAGAATTGAGAGGAGTCATGATTTTGTGGGAGGTTGATGCATTGAAGGGGATAAGATATCATGTTCACGCTGAATGGATGGGGGAGAATTAATTGGGATAAGGTCAGGTAAATCGTGGGATGAGGTTGTTGGAGAAAAACGCAGGGGACTGGAAAAGGGAGGTGGCAAATTTAGGAGAGTGGAAGGAGGTAAATGGGGTGACACAATTAGGGAAGATTTGTCGAAATAGACTTTGATGTAAGGGAAGAAGAGATCGTTGCCCATCTTGATAGAGTGAAATCATTAACTTTGTCATGCTCATTTAAGGGAGATAAAGAGGGAAAGTGATTTCAATAAAGTGAACATGCTGAGAAAAATAAATTTTGTGATTTGTGGGTTCAAAACAAATATACGAATTGTGAACATTTGAATAGCCCAAAAAAATACAGGACTTGGACCGCTGTTCGAGCTTATGATGATTGTAGGGCCGAAGCCATGGATAACAAAGGCACCTAAAAATTCTCAATTTGGAATAATTTGGCAAAATATGAAATAGACATTCAAATGGTGATTTATTATAAAGTATCAACGTAGGAAGTCGATTAATAAGATAAACCACGACATTGATAGCATAAGACCAAAAAGATAGAGGGAGAGATGTCTGATGTAAAAGTGTAAGGCCTGTCTCAACGATGTGACGATGACAATGTTCAACCGAAGCTACATGCTTTGGTGTGTATGGAAGAGAGATCAAATGTTGAATCCCAGAGTTCACAAACATAGTTTTTAAACCTTGGTATTCTGTGCCACCATCAAAATAAATTGTATTTATAGATGTTTTGAAAAAAATTTCAATCATGGTTTTAAACTTTGGAAATAAAGAGAAAACATCAGATTTATTTGCCATAGGAAATAACTATGAATATTTTGTATAGTGATCTACAAAAATGACATAGTAAGAATGGCCATCCATTGAACAAATAGGGGATGGACCCCAAACATCCGTATATAATAGATCTAAAGGACATCGACTTTTTAAGTTTGATACACCAAAAGGTAGTTTGTGACTTTTGTTACAATGACAAGAGTCACAAAAAAACATGTTTGACAAATTCTGACTCGATTGCATAGGGAGTTTATTAGAGGACACAATTTGACGAAGGACTTTTGATGACGGGTGACCAAGGCGATCATGAAAACTATCAAGAGGAGTCTTAACACTGTAACACGCTTGTTTTGTCACCGGATGGATCTCCCCGGGGCTTGACCACTCGTACACTTCATTCTTGCTCCGTCCTTGAGCGAGATGTGCCCCCGTGGCTAGATCCTTAACACAAAAGGAAGAAGAGTAAAATTCAGTTGATGTATTATTAGTTTTTCAAAATTGGGATACTAAAATTAAATTTTGTTTCATGGATAGAACACATAAAACATTTGAAAGTGAAAAGGAATTAGTAGGAGTGGTGAGAGTGGATTTTCCAGTGTTATATGCAAACCTGTACCATCACCAATTATAATATCGTCAAGTCCTTTGAAAGGCTGCTGAATTGAGAGATTGTTCAAATTAGAGGTGACATGGTGAAAAACACCTGTGTCAAGCAGCCAGTTAGAACTTGAGCCACGACCACTACTTGTGGTTGTGTGATTGGCTCAAGGCGGCACGAGCAGGCCAAGTTGACGTTTCAAGGAGAAGCACCCACGAGCATTGTGACATCTGTGTTCACAGTATTGACATATCAATGGAGAGCCTTTGGTGGAGTTCGTTCCTTGATTATTGTTGGTGGGATAGGAGTTTCCCTGATGATTGTTGGTGTTAGCATAGTGCTGACAACCTTGGATGCTGCGGTTGTGAGAGTATTTTCTTTGAGATTGATTTCCATGTCGCTGTTGATTGAAAAGAGCACCATTAGCAGTCATAACAATAGAGCTGCTTTCTTTATGCTTGAGGAAGGATTCATATTCCACAAACTTGTCGTGAAGCTCTTCAAAGCCTATGACAGTGTGTCTCGCGCTCTAATTGCAACAGCGAGTTCCATAAATTTGGGCCAACTCCATTTTGAACACGAAGAATAAGGGTGGTGGTTGGTACTGGTGAGCCAATGATGGCAAGTTCATCGGCAATGCTGCAAATGAAGCCGAGATATTCAACAGTAGAACTTGTTCCTTATCCTTTAGAGAGTTGATCTATTAGCCCCATAACTCAAGAGGATGATAGATTAGCATAATATTTTGCAAGGCGATTCCACGCCTCAATAGGAGTTTTTGATGAACTGATCATTGGTATCACTTGATTAGAGAGAGGAGAGAATACCATGAAAAAGAAGCTTGTCTTGTCTTTGCCATAGAATAAACTCTGGATTGGGAATTTGTTTTCCTTCATTTGTCAACTTAGCAGGTGGACAAGGCTTTGATCCGTCGATATATCCGAGTAGATGGTAGCCAAAGAGTAATGAATCAAACTGAGCCTCCCATGAAGGATATTTCTCTAGATTAACTTAATAAGCATTTGTGTTGAGTTGAGAACAATGAGATTGTTTTGGCTAGGAGATGAAGATGTGGTTGTGCTCTTTTTAGTCATGATGAAAAAAAATTCAATGAAGAAGAAGACAGGTTTAGAATTGTTTTAGAAGACTCGTGGGAGCATATTATGTTCTGATACCATAAAGGAGCCAAACCAGTTTGGAGAAAATAAAAATGGTGAAGATATATTTTATTGATACTATGAGCAAGTATTTATTTATATATAAAATATACAAGTCAGGATAAGGAAAGTCAATTGTATAGATACTAAAAATAAGGGATTGGATTGACATATACAAGTAGTGAATTAAGGGGATGAGGCTGTGATTGTGGGTCAGGATGAGGAGAGGTCTTCTTTCCTAATATAAAGGAGTCAAACTAGTTTGGAGAAATAAAAATTATGAAGATATATTTTATTGATACTATTAGCAGATATTTATATATAAAATATACAAGCTAGGATAAGAAAAGTCAATTGAAGTGCAATCATCACGATTGTTTGCCCAATCGGCATCAGAGTAAGCAATGAGGCAGAGGGGTCATAAGCGTTGGAGGACCAACCCGTATGAGAATGTGTGCTTTAGGTAACGGAGAGACTTGTGGCAATAGTCCAGTGTGTTTGTGTAGGGGCATGCATACACTGAGCTAGCTTATTGACGGTGTAGGCAAAGTCAGGCCGAGATAGTGAGAGACATTGTATACCACCAATCAAGTTGCGGTAGTTGGTGGTGTCGGCGGCAGTTGTACCATCTGAAAGAATCAAGCAGGTAGAAGAACTGATTAGTGTCACGGATTCCTTCATGCCTTCCATGTTGAAATGTGTAAGAAGATCATAGACATATTGATGCTGGGACAAAAATAATCCATGGCTATTGGATATGACTTCAACCCCAAAAAATAATGAAGGTAATCGAGATCTTTGATGGAGAATCGATTGGAGAGATCCTCAATAATTTTTTTGATAAAGATTGACAAATTCCCTGTAATTAATAAATCATCAACATAAACAAGAAGGTACACAATGAGATTGTTGTTAGAATATATAAAGAGGGAGGTGTCACTCTTGGAGTTGGAAAAACCAAGAGAGAGAATGAAATTCTTTAGTTCTTGAAACCAAGCGCGAGGCGCTTGCTTGAGACCATAAAGGGAACAGTGAAACTGACAAACATGATGAGGTCGATTGCTATCAACAAAGCCTGGGGGTTGGGACATAAACACCTTGGATAAATGCCCATGTAGAAAGGCATTATTTACATCCAATTGATGAATTGGGCAGCCATGAGAAAGAGCAAGAGTGAGAACAATGCGAATAGTAGTAGGCTTGATAACGGGGTTGAATGTTTCATGATAGTCAATACTGGGATGTTGGTTGGAACCACCAGCAACAAGTCAAGCTTTGTAGCAATCAATGCTACCATCAGCTTGTCACTTAACTCGAAAGACCCACTTGCACTCAACGATATTCTGATTGGATTGGTGGGGAACAAGTTCTCAGGTTCCATTCCAAATGAGAGCATTGAGCTCTTCACACATGGATGCTCTCCATTGGGGATTGGCAAGGCCTTGAGAAATTGAGATAGGTTTTAAGGTTTGAGAAAGAGGGTGTTCAGAAATAGCATAGGAAAATTTGGTGAAAGGTTTGAAAATATTGTTCTTGGAATATGTGGTCATGGTCAAGAATCTAAATGTCGTGTCAAAACGTCTGAAACATTTCAGAATTTCAACACACCAATACAAAATATAAGTTGAATCCCAAAATTTCAAAGTTTCGGTTGAAACGTTAATGTGTCGGACCGTTTTGGTCGAAACATTACCGTTTCGGTCAAAATAGTACAATTTTAAGGAAACAGTGATCATAAAAAGCTAAAGATTCGCTTCAGGCCAAAGAAAAAAAAACTCTTAGAAAGCTAAAGATTCCACAAACAAGTTAGAATTCACAGGTCTTACAAGCTCAGAAATCACATGTCGTTCAGGTCTTCCAAGCCAAAAACAAAAATACAAAGAGAAGAGAGATAGAAAGACAATCGAAGAGACAAAGACTATAGACCAAAAATTAAAGGAATAAAGATTCAATAACTTACCTCCTTGAGTAGATCCAACCATTTTTAACCAGATCTAGGGCTTAGGAGTTGTCTTCATCGCCGCGAGCTATCACTAACCACGAGCAACCACTGGTATCTCTTCTTCTTATTCTTTTCTCTCTCTCTCTCTATGGCACCGGCATCCCTAGTCGCCCATCGCCAGCCGCCTCCTCTCTGTCGCATCTTGTCTCTCAAAGTCGTTGTGGGTGTAAACTGTGCGTCTTCTGCCTTATATATATATATATATATATATATATATATATATATATATTGATAAGTACGAATTATTATAGTTAATACCCCCTTGTAATTATATTTAATACCCACTGTAATTATATTTAATACCCTATTGTAATTACATTTACTACCTTATTATAATTACATTTAATAGTTAATACCCTATTGTAATTACATTTAATACCCTATTGTAAACACATGTAATTACATTTAATGTAGCTATATAAGTATGTACTCATTAGCATTTCATGTGTATTATGAGACCTTAATATTATGTAAAAATGTGTTTATTTGATGAAAATTAAGTGTTTGAAACGAATTTAAGTGATTTTTGCCTCATGTCAAGCCTTTTTTTCTCCCCAATTTAAATTTATTCTTATATAAGTAGATGTTAACCCAATAAATATGTTGAATTAATCAATTATTTAGCTTATCTTTATAAATTAATAAATTGTATTTGTGTTTCCATGTGTTTATATATTTTTTTTGTATTTTCATTGTGTTTTCGAAACATTTCTGTTTTTGAGCTGACTGAAACGGTACTTTGAAACGAAATTTCGATCCTTGGTCATGGTATGGATGTTGGGAGGGTCTACGGCTGTGAGGGAGGTAAGAGATGGAGAGGTATCAAACCTTGGAGCACTATTACTCATAAAGGAAGCAATAGACGTGTCGATTGGAGAAGTTTCCAAGTTGAGATTCATAACCAATGGAGGGTTGCCAGCATGTACAGTGTCAGGAATAGTGGGAGACTTGGATTGGAAAGAGTCATCAAACCTAGACAAAGATGAAGAGGAAGGTGTCAGGGACTCGGAATGGAAAGGAGTAGATTTGTCATGAGATTGAGAGGAGTCATGATTTGTGGGAGGTTGATGCATTGAAGGGGATGAGATACCATGTTCGTGCTGAGTGGATGAAGGAGAATTAATTGGGATAAGGTCGGGTAAGTCGTGGGATGAGGTTGTTGGAGAAAAATGTGTGGAACTGGAAAAGGGAAGTGGCGAATTTAGGAGAGGGGAAGGAGGTAAATGGGGTGACACAATTGGGAAAGAGTTGTCGAAATGGAATGAGGTAAGGGAAGGAGAGATTGATGCCCATTTTGAAAAAGTGAAATCATTAACTTTGTCATACTTATTTAAGGGAGATAAAGAGGAAAAGTGATTTCAATAAAGCGAACATGCCGGGAAAAATAAATTTTGTGATTCGTGGGTTCAAAACAAATAAGAATTGTGAACATTTGAATAGCCCTAAAAAAGACAGGACTTGGACCCCTGTTCAAGCTTATGATGATGGTAGGGCCGAAGCCATGGATAACAAAGGCACCCCAAAACTTTCAATTTAGAATAATTGGGCAAAGTATGAAATAGACATTCAAATGGCGATTTATTATCAAGTATCGACATAGGAAGTCGATTAATAACATAAACCGCGGCATTGAAAGCATAAGACCAAAGAGATAGAGGGAGAGATGTCTGATGTAAAAGTGTAAGGCCTGTCTCAACGATGTGACGGTAACGACATTCAGCCGAACCTACATGCTTTGGTGTGTATGGAAGAGAGATCAAATGTTGAATCCTAGAATTTGCAAACATAGTTTTTAAACCTTGGTATTATGTGCCACCATCAGAATAAATTGTATTTATGGATGTTTTGAAAAAAATTTCAATCATGGTTTTAACTTTGGAAATAAAGATAAGACATCAGATTTATTTGCCATAGGAAATAACCATGAATATTTTTTATAGTGATCTACAAAAATGACATAGTAAGAATAGCCATCCATTAAACAAATAGGGGATGGACCCCAAACATCCATATATAATTGATCCAAAGGACATCGACTTTTTAAGCTTGATACACCAAAAGGTAGTTCATGACTTTTGTTACAACGAAAAGAGTCACAAAAAACATGTTTGACAAATTCTAACTCGATTGCACAGGGAGTTTATTAGAGGGCACAATTTGACGAAGGACTTTTGATCATGGGTGACCAAGGCGATCATGCCAATGATCAAGAGGAGTCTTGACACCGTAACACACTTGCTTTGTCACCAGATGGATCTCCCTGGTGCTTGACCACTCGTACACTTCATTCTTGCTTCGTCCTTGAGCAAAAGGTGCCCTTGTGGCAAGATCCTTAACACAAAAGGAAGAAGGATAAAATTCCACTAAGGTATTATTAGTTTTGAAAAATTGGGATACTGAAATTAAATTCTAATTCGTGAATGGAACTAGTAGGAGTGGTGAGAGTGGATTTTCCAATTTGTGTAATATGCAAACCTGTACCATCACCAATTATAATATCGTCGGGTCATTCGTACGACTGATGAATTGAGATATTGTTCAAATTAGAGGTGACATGGTGAGAAGCACCTGTGTCAAGAAGCCAGTTAGAACTTGAGCCACAACCACTACCTGTGGTTGTGTGATTGGCTCTAGGCTGCACGAGCTGGCCGAGTTGACGTTTCAAGGAGAAGCACTCACAAGTATTGTGATCTCTGTGTTCACAGTATTGACATATCACTAGAGAGCCTTTGGTGGAGTTGGTTCCTTGATTATTGTTGGTGGCATAGGAGTTTCCCTGATGATTGTTGGTGTTAGCATAGCGCTAACCACCTTGGTTGTTGCGGTTATGAGAGTATTTTCTCTGAGATTGATTTCCATGTCTCTGTTAATTGAAACGAGCAACGTTAACAGTCATAACAATAGAGCTGTTTTCTTCACTCTTGAGGAAGGATTCATATTCCACAAGTTTGTCCTGAAGCTCTTCAAAGCCTATGACAATGTCTTGCGCTCTAATTGCAGCAGCAAGTTCCCTAAAATCAGGGCCAACTCCATTCATAATATGAAGAATGAGGGTGGTTGTAACACCCCCCCACTACCCAGCAAGATATTGTCCTCTTTGGCACAGGGTCACGGAACACCGTTCTCCTCCCCTGCCCTCAAGGGTTTGTTCCTCCCAGGGGTTCCCTGGGAAAAGGCCTCTTGCAAGGTAAGGGCTGAAGGCTTACTTATAAGCCCAGCAACTCCCCCCTCCGTAACCGATGTGGGATACCAGGATCTCACAATCCACCCCCCTCAGGGCTGCACGTCCCCGTGCAGCTAGGTCACGGACTACCGTTCTCCTCCCTCCTACACGCTGACCCGTGCAGGGCCCCACACTCGGCACCGCCAAGGGGTCGGCTCTGATACCATTTGTAACACCCCCCCCACTACCCAGCAAGATATTGTCCTCTTTGGCACAGGGTCACGGAACACTGTTCTCCTAGAGATCCTGGTATCCCACATCGGTTACGGAGGGGGGAGTTGCTGGGCTTATAAGTAAGCCTTCAGCCCTTACCTTGCAAGAGGCCTTTTCCCAGGGAACCCCTGGGAGGAACAAACCCTTGAGGGCAGGGGAGGAGAACAGTGTTCCGTGACCCTGTGCCAAAGAGGACAATATCTTGCTGGGTAGTGGGGGGGGGTGTTACAAATGGTATCAGAGCCGACCCCTTGGCGGTGCCGAGTGTGGGGCCCTGCACGGGTCAGCGTGTAGGAGGGAGGAGAACGGTAGTCCGTGACCTAGCTGCACGGGGACGTGCAGCCCTGAGGGGGGTGGATTGTGAGATCCTGGTATCCCACATCGGTTACGGAGGGGGGAGTTGCTGGGCTTATAAGTAAGCCTTCAGCCCTTACCTTGCAAGAGGCCTTTTCCCAGGGAACCCCTGGGAGGAACAAACCCTTGAGGGCAGGGGAGGAGAACAGTGTTCCGTGACCCTGTGCCAAAGAGGACAATATCTTGCTGGGTAGTGGGATTTGTAACACCCCCCCTACTACCCAGCAAGATATTGTCCTCTTTGGCACAGGGTCACGGAACACCGTTCTCCTCCCCTGCCCTCAAGGGTTTGTTCCTCCCAGGGGTTCCCTGGGAAAAGGCCTCTTGCAAGGTAAGGGCTGAAGGCTTACTTATAAGCCCAGCAACTCCCCCCTCCGTAACCGATGTGGGATACCAGGATCTCACAGTGGTGGTTGGTACCGGTGAGCCAATGATGGCAAGTTCATCGGTGACGCTGTGAATGAAGCTGAGATATTCAGCAATAGATCTTGTTCCTCGTCCTTTAGAGAGTTGATCTGTTAGCCCTATAACCCGAGAGGATGATGTATTAGCATAATATTTTGCAAGGCGATTCCACGCCTTAATAGGAATTTTTGATGAACTAATCATTGGTATCACTCGATCAGAGAGAGATGAGAGAATACCATGAAAGAGAAGCTAGTCTTGTCTTTGCCATAGAATAAACTCTAGATTGGGAATTTTTTTTCCTTCATTTGTCAACTTAGCAGGTGGACAGGGCTTCAATCCATCAATATATTCAAGCAGATCGTAGCCAAAGAGCAGTGAATCAAACTGAGCCTCCCATGAAGGATAGTTCTCTAGAGTTAACTTAACAGGCAATTGTGTTGAGTTAAGAACAATTAGATTGCTTTGGCTAGGAGATGAAGATGTGGTTGTGCTCTTTTTTGTCATTATGAAAAAAAAATTCAATGAAGAAGAAGACAGGTTTAGAATCATTTTAGAAGACTCATGGGAGCTTGTTATGCTCTGATACCATAAAGGAGCCAAACCAGTTTGGAGAAAATAAAAATGGTGAAGATATATTTTATTGATACTATGGGCAAATATTTACTTATATATAAAATATACAAGTTAGGATAAGGAAAGTCAATTGTATAGATCCTAAAAATAAGGGATTGGATTGACATATACAAGCAATGAATTAAGGTGATGAGACTGTGATTGTGGATCGTGATGAGGAGAGGTCTTCTTTCCTAATAGTTTGCTCTAAAGAACATAAAAACATTCGTTTTAACAAAAATTAAAGATTGAAGAAAAAAAATGACGAATTTTTTAAATTTGTGTTTAACTTGAAGAAATAAAAGAAAATTTTGATGGGTAGACTTAAGGTTTATATACTATGAAAGATGAGTGAGATTAGGATTTTAAAAAATACAAGAAATCAAAAAATGGAAGATGAAAAGGAAAAAAACTTACCTACAGACTTTCAAATGATTTGTGAAAGTTTCGGTGGTGGTCGGCGATGAAAGCGGCGTAGTAAGAAAAGCCAAGATGAGGTAGAGAACAAGTTGTCGAAGAAATTTGTTAGTTTTGGATAGGTTAAAAAGTTACTAGAAATTTGGTATACAATTTGAGTTTAAAATAAGTTTTGCTTTAATTTGGTATATGTTTGAGTGCAAAGTTGGAGAAGTTTTTTTCGGCCATTTTAACTCCAATTTAAATTTGAGTCTACATTTGAGTTAAAGTTAGAAATATTCTAAAAGCAAAAGAAATGGTGTTTGCGTAGGAAACCTAGAACTCGCTTTTTTCTTTTAGAGGAGGGTTTCATTCTAATAATTATGGATGGCAATTTTTAAATGCAGGTTTTAATTACTACTAGGTAACTACAAACATGGACGTAGACTATGGTATTTTTGGAAAGATTAAATTGTCTCCTACATAACAAGGACTTTGAAATACATGTATTCAAGAAGACTGCTTGGCAGATTTCTTGAATATTAAAATGATAGAGATAGGCTATTCAAGAGGTATGACAGTTATAAATCTCTACGATATTACGACAAAATTTTAATCAGGCAAGACTTCCTATAGCCTGGAAATTCTTGGAAAGGGTAGTAACTTCATCTTATGTTGGTACCATTCCTTCAAAAAAAAAATCAAAATAAACCACCTAAAGTTTGATGGTCATAAGCACCACCTAATTCCAATCCAATTCAACTAAAAAATATGTGTTGAGTGGGGATTGTCCTTGGCTCTGATTTACCACTCCTCAAGTATGGGAAACTATAAAAACTCAATTTTGTTATGCAAAAGATACAGAAAATCAATCCTTGAACTTAAGGATAAGTTAATATACTGAAAGCGGGTGAAGTGACCCATCTAAATGGGTCACTCACTCTAACTAATAATAAGTCTCATATTGATATATCTAACTCGATTTATTAACTCCTACGATTGGAAATGAGGAACGTACTCCTACTGCTCGGTGATACAAAAAATTGAAATTACAATAGAATACAAAATGACTTCACGAAATCTTCACCTCATTGAACCAGATGTCGGCTATCTTTAAGAGAATGAAATAGAGGAAACCAAAGAATATGAGGAGGAATTCAACACATCAACTTTTTACATTTCCAACAACTGCCACTTCTTCAAAAAGCAACACTTTGAGATCTAAAACAAACCACAACATAAATGAAAACCACTATATCTCAAGAAAAATAAAACTTAGAATCCAAATAGCTCAATCCAATGTAAAATCATCAAAAAAAGGGTTTTAAGACTAGATCAAACTACCCTAAATACCATGTAGTACGTTGCAAAGAAAGAGAGAACTTACATCAACCAAAGCCCCACCCCTGGATCACAAAACACACAGAGAGATAGAGGGGGTTACCAAAGCTTGCTGTACAGAAAAGAAAGAGAAGGGCTTCCCAGAGCTATAACCTCCTCCCTTGTTAACTCAAAACACTCCACTCAAATCACCTTTGAACACCCTACTCACGAGGAACCCCCAATTTCCTGCAAATCCAATCTAACCCCGACTCACAACCTCAAATCCCACCATTTCCCCCAAATCCAAAGTTAGAGAGTGTGTGTGTGTGTGTGTGTGTGTGTGTGTGTGTGTGTGTTTATAAGTTTAGTTGGAGATTTTCTATGGTGAACAAGCATTGCGCCTAGATTCTATCACACCCAACTGGTGGTTGCACAGTGGTCCTCAATGGTGATGCCATGAGATTTTTTTGCATGTGAATAGAGAGAAAATAGGAGCAAAACAAATGAGCTAGTTCCTTGTAGTGGTGCCAACAATGTGTTTATTACTTTTCTAGACATTTAGTTGAACACATGGTGGCGGTGTGTGTTGGTGAATGATGGAGTAGAAAGAGAGGGCGGTGGGTAGGCTGTTGTAAAGGTAGACTAAAGGTGGTGAATAGGTTGTGTAGAGAGAGGGAGCGAGAGGAGTAGAGAGAGGGAGCGAGAGGAGTAGAGAGAGGGAGAGAGATTACCTTTGTAAGGGAGGCACTAGGCGGGATAGGGTTGGGCTAGGCGATAGTTCCGATTGACATGGGGCTAGGAACATGTGAAAGAGAGGAGAAAAATGGGCGAGTGAGAGAGGAAGAAAGAAAGAGGGAGATGGAGAGAAAGAGAGATTACCTTCACTGGTGGGTAGCCAGCATCACTGGATGATGGAGCATTGTTGGTTAGGTGGTGGACAAGCAGCTGCCAAAGATCGAGGAGAGTGAGGAGAAAGATAAGGGAGAGAGGAAAAACGGAGAAAGATGAGAGAGATGAGTGATGTTATATACAGAGTCCAAGGGTTCTATCAAATTTTGGAAAATTTATGGGGCAGTAAAATATTTTGAGAATCATTTTTGTTCATCAGCATTGCAATTTGGGCATTGATCAATCTTTATGCTTTCAAGTAGTTATACATAGGCTAGTAGGACCACGATACCTTGCAGAGGCAGCCCCAACTCATCCCAAACCTGTCGTGTCCATTTATTGACTAATTTGTTTGACAATATTTTAGCCTAAGAAGTGC